CCCAAGACCACAGACTTTCCTGCACCACCCCTCAGCAGCATGGGCAGCCCCTTTCCTTGCCAAAGGCTCCAACGCCCCCTGTTCCTCTAAGACAGACAGCCTGCGTCCTTCCTGCCCAGAGCCATATATCTCAGCACCACAGACAGCCTCCTCCCTGCCACCCACATTCCCCCAGGGCCACAGAATGGAGCCTCCTCCCTGTCTGGAGTCACACAATTCAGTACTTACCGTGGGCAGCCTTCTGCCTACCACCTGTCACTTGGGGTGAGGTTGCCTGCTTTCCTTCTGTTTGGAGCCTCTATGCTCAGTACCATGGACAGTGCCTTCTCCCACATCCACTATTCTGGGGGGAGGGGTAAAGCTTGCCAGCCTCCCTCCCAGCCACAGCCCACAGAGCTCAGCACCATGGATAGCCACTCTCTGTCAACCATTAACCCCTCAGGCCACAGAAAGCTAGCTTTTTTCCTGTCTGTAACCCCCTATCTCAGTCCCATGGAGAGCATCCATCTTATCTTTGTAGTTCTTCTGGGTGGTCAAAAATGGTCTGCTCACCCTCCACCCAAAGCCACTATGTACAATAAAGTGCTATGGACAGACTTCTCCTTGTCACCCCATCACTTCTCTGGGACATCAGTCACTCAAACATTTACTAAGCATCTATTATGTGCCAGGCACTAGGTCTTAATGACCAAAGTGAAACAATTTGTGCCTGCAAGGACTTTACAGGGCAGACAACACATATAAGTAGACACAGACAGCTGGACCAGAGAATGCATAGAGTAAAGTGTAAGAAAGCTGAAAAGGGAGGAAGGGACCAGAACATGAAGTGCTCAAAATGCCAGGCAGGGGTGTTTATAACTGATCCTGGAGGTAATAGGGAGCTATGGGAGTTTACTGAGCAGGGGAAAAGATGACATGATCAGAACATCTCTGACGGCTATGTGCAGGATGGCTTGGAGTAGGGAGGAGACTGTGTCCTCCCCTGTACCTGCCACTGTCCCAGAGCCACAGATGGTGAGCCTTCTTCACCACTGCAGTAACATAGCTCGGGGCCCTGGCAGTCCTCCTTGCCAACCGCTGCTCCCTTGGGCCTCATCGCTCTCCTAGGAATAAGCCCAGGAAACCTTGACAAATGACCAGGGGCCAAGTTTCTGCCACCTTTACACATGGATCTGAGCAGTGGGAGGTACAAATCACCAGTCTCTCTATCTCCATAAGCCTGTAGCAGGAGTCACCGGGGAGCTAATGCCCCACTCCACAGGCATTGCTGTAAATTAGCTTTCTGTCCTAGTGGCAGGGTCAGGGGTGGGTCAGCTATCTGAATGTCAGCATGTTAACAGAAAGGCTTGTGGGGGTGGTAAGTTTTCCATCGAATCCAAAGAAAAATGCTAACCAAGTCCTTCCCTGCCCCACACTCAGTGACACACAGGACCGTAGCAACACTGTAGATATTTCTCTGCTCCAAGAGTTTAGGCTTTCTTCTCAAGCTGCCCTCAAGTACCAAGTATTTTGTTTTTGTTTTTGTTTTTAGGCGATTGGGGTTAAGTGACTTGCCCAGGGTCACACAGCTAGTAAGAAATACCAAGTATTGATTAGGCATCTAGTGCTGGGCACTGGCCTGTAGTAACTAAATTAAAGGAATCTCTGCCTTCAAGAGGCTTACATTCTACCACCTCTGAGTGTGTACAGGGGAGGGGACATAATATTTATACAAATAAATACACTTGAGGGAACCTGAGGGAGGAGTGAACTGGATGAAGCCAGTATGAAGAAGAAAGGCTTCCTTTAGGAGGTAGCCCCCGAGCTGTTGCTGAATTGTTTCAGTCGCGTTCAACTCTTCATGACTCCATTCAGGGTCTTCTTAGCAAAGATTCTGGAGTGGTTTGTCATTTCCTTCTCCAGCTCATTTGACAGATGAGGAAACTGAGGCAAACAGGGTGAAATGACTTGCCCAGAGTCACACAGTAAGTGCCTGAGGCCAGATTTGACCAAGTCTTCCTGACTCCTGGGCCAGTGCTCTATCCACTGTGCCACCCAGCTGCCCTTGAGGACAGCACTGAAATGATCTATGGATTCTAGCAGGTGGAGGGGAGAAAGAGGTGCATGGCAGGCATGGAGGTAAGGAATGGGATGCAGAGCACTGGGTGCAGTAGAAAGGCAGTCCGTCTGGCTTGAGTGTAGAGGGCATGAAAGAGAATAATATGAATTCAGAGACCATAGCCCAGGGGTGGGGAGCCTGCAGCCTCGAGGCCACACGTGGCCCACCTTGAGGACCCAGAGGGCCACGTGTGGCCTTGAGGCTGAGGGTTTCATTTTTTTAAACAATTCTGAACTTATAGGGATGGGAAATAAGCATTTATAGAGTACCTACTGTGTACCTGGCACTGTGCTAAGTGCTTAACAAATATTATCCCATTTGATCCTCACAACAAGCCTGGAGGGAAAGTGCTATTATGATCCCCATTTTGCAGATGAGGAAACTGAGACAAATAGTGGTTAAGTGACTTGTCCAGGGTCATACAGCTAGGAAGTATCTGAGGCTGGATTTAAACTCAGATCTTTCCTGTTTCCTAGTAATAAGAAACTCACCATCTTCTTTGGCAGTCCATTCCATTTTGGGGTAGCTCTGACTAGGAAAATGTTGCCTACACCAACTCCTAATCTGTCTCTCAGCTTCTAGCTTGGCCTTGGGGCCAAGCAGAAGAAACATAATCCCTCCTGACCCACTGATAGCCCTCTGAGTACATGAAGAGGGCTCTCATCCTTTCCCTCAGTCTTCTCCTCTCCAGGCCAAATATCTCCAGTTATTTCAGTCAATTAACACCCCCCTCCCAAGGGGGAAACTGAGTGAGCTATTGCGAGATTCGTCTTCAGGGCCGCAGGTCTGAATCCATCAGCTGAGCTCATTCTTCCTGCTCACCACCATCAAGAGAGACACAATGAGGGAGACGTGGCTTTCAGATCCCGCTGGTAACACTCTGCAGCTGTGAGACTCTGGGCAAGGCCCCTGATGTCTCCAAGCCTGAGATTCAACATCTGTAAAACGGGAGGTTTGGGTAAGGTGACCTCGAAGTCCCCTTCCAGCTCTACGTGTAAGACCTTACGGTAGGTGCTTAATAAACGCTTGCTGATTGATTGATTCTCTCTCCCCCAGCCACCAGCGCTAGGGTGGAACAGAACAAATTGGAAGAGGAGGCCCAGTTACACGTGGACCCTCTGCTACCACCCCCCAAAACTCCCCCAAATAGAGGAGACAGTAACGAGCCATCACAAGAACCCAGAAAGCAGAGAGGCTGGGGGCTCTTGCCCCCCCAACTCAATGAGGAACCCTGAGCCTCTTGATCCAGACAAGACCAGCATAATCCTGAGGAGGGGTAAGAGGCAGCAGAGGTGAGGTTCATAGAAATCTCGTCACCAGAGATCTCTGTCTGAGAGGCCACAGGTGATGGGAAGGACTGGGAAGGTGCTGTCAAAGGACATGAGGAATCTTCATGGACAAAACCATCCATTTTCTGGTGGACCAAGAGCTCAGGAGGCTCACAGCACAGCCTGGCACCTAAAGCTTGCCCAGAGATACAGAGATGGAACATCAGAAGCATCCCTTCCCCAGCCCCACAACAAATCGGCACTGCTTTGCCAAGAGACATCCCCCCTGGTCTTCTATCCCCTCCCCCAAGGAGAATCATGGCCCAGCCACAGCTTCCCAAGTCGGCCTCAAGCACCCGCCAAGGGGTCTGGCTCTCACAGCTTCAATGTTCTGGCTGCAAGAAGCCTCTGGGAAGAATGGAGTCTGGTCCTCTGCTCAAGGCTGGTGGCAGGAGATGCTGCCTTCCTGCCCTCAGTCTTCTCGAGTAACTTCAGCTTGAAGACGGGCACTTGGAGAAGGCCCTTGCTGCCCGGCACCCCATCCTTACTTTGAAAAGCCATGGGTACCAATCATAGCCGCTACAGAAAAGGCTCCTCCATTTTCCTGCCTCGTCTTCCCTTGCCTAACATGGGAGTTGAGACTTCAGCCTCTAGCCAATGGGGCGGTTCTGTGTCCCAGGTGTCCTGGGTTAATCTCATCTTCCAAACTCACACTGGAAGACTGGACACCTGTTAGCTCCCCTACTTGAATGTAAACTCCTGGAGGGCAGGGACTATTTCATTTTTGCCTTTTCTTGTTTAGTCATGTCCGACTCTTCGTGACCCTCTTTGGGGTTTTCTTGGCAGAGACACTGGGCTGGCTTGCCATTTCCTTCTCCAGCTCATTTTACAGATGAGGAAACTGAGGCAAACAGGGTGACGTGACTCGCCCAGGGTCACCCAGCTAGTCAGTGTCTGAGGCTGGATTTGAACTCAGGAAGATGAGTCCAATCCTGGTTCCCATCCCAATGTTTCACCCACTGTGCTAGCCAGCTGCCCTTTTGTATCTCTAATACTTTAGAAAAATGCTCGGCACACACTTTAGTTAGATGCTTGATGACTAGAGGAGAGAGTGAGGCCGACAACTTGGAGCAGCTCTGCCTCTCTCCAATCCAACTCACACACAAGTCAAGACTTCGTTCTCACGAGGTCACTGGTCCTCTTCGAGAACGAAAACAATAAATGTTTGTTGATTGATGACATGTGTCTACACTGGCTCCCCCCTCCAATAGAATCTAAGCTCCCGGACAGCAGAAACGGTTTTGCTTTTAGCTCTGGACACCCAGACCATGGCACATAGTAAACATTTTGAAAATGCTGATTGTTTAACTGGCATCTCTGATCTGTACCATGCAGATGAGACTGTCTGCATTCACACCACTATCGGTCCGGGAGCTTGGAGACAGACAGCTGCCTGAATTTCCATTTGTGTTGGAAGACCAGTATGTCCCCAGCCAAGAAGAACTGCCCTCCATCCAGGGTCTACGCAATTCTCTCTAGTCACCACCACTCTCTTCCCCCATCAGTCTGCCCCTGCTGGCCGAGGTGACTTGGTTTCACCCTTCAGAGACGCCAGTGATCAGACAGAGCCTTACCTGACTTAGAACTCCAATTCAAGTTCCATCTTCCTCCAAGGAGATGGCGGCTTCTTTGGACAGGGTAGCACGCTCAGTCCCGGCTGCGTCTATCGACTGGTAGAAGCCACAAGACCTACAAAGAAATGGGAAGGAACAGAGGACATTGTCACTCCCTGGAGGAAGGTGGAAAGCACTCGCAATGATTTTGGGGGTGTTTTTTCTGTTTTTTTCTGGCCTTGTGATGGTGTTAAGTGATGAGGCGAGAGTCCTGGGACAAGGCAGTGAGCCAGCCATGCAGGGATGATGCAGTGTTTACACAGCTGTCTACAATCATTAATAACCCCCCCCCCCCCCGGGGCTATTCAAAGGTTGTCAATATGCTCCTTTCGTGCTGGAGTACAGTAGTTGGCCGAGAGGTCTAGCCCTGGCGGGTGACTTGGAGACTGGCCTGTGTGGAAGGACACCCAAGAAGGGTTCCCAGGGTAGGGGCTGGTGACGACATGAGTGGAGTGGGAGTCAGTGAGGGGGGAGTGTTTGGCTGCAGGGCCCTGGGCAATCTGAGGATACATCGGAGGGAGGGGAATACAGGGGGCTGGAGGGCTCAGGCCCTGTTACGGACCCGGGTTACTCTCTACTGAGGGAGTCAGGTGCCATTTGAGAAGGAAGGTGAGCACAGAAGGAAGTGCCCCAAGTCACGAGATCTGAGATCTAGGGCAGCCATCCCATCAAACGCCCTCTTTTTACAGATGAGGAAACTGAGGCCAGGAAGGTGAAGTTACTTGTCCAAGGTCCCAAAGGTTGAAGCATCAAGTACGTGATTAGAACCCAGACCCTCAGACCCCAGAAACAGCATTCTTTCCATTGTGCTGCCTCGTCTCCCAGTTCTGTGCCTAGCTCAAAAAAAGATGAGTCCTAATTCTTCGCCCCATGCAGAGGGTCGGCACACATATTTGGGGACCCAGGATATGAAGCCTGGCAGATGTGGTAGTTCTGAGGTTTCTGGCAGCTTCCCCAAGGGAGAAGAAGATGTGACAAAGAGCCATAGAGAGAGGCCCATATGGGGGATGGGCACCTAGGGAGGGGGCTGGTCCACCATTAAAGGCACTTAGAGTGCCACCATCTTAATTCTATTGTCCTGGGGTCACAGGGTCACAGATTTACCAAGATTTAGAGCTGGAAAGGAAATCTGAGATCACTGAGCTCAACCCTTCATTTTACAGAAGAGGAAATGGAGACTCGGGGAACAAACCATGTCCCAGCCATCATGCTAAGAGATGGGGGCAGAAATGCCAGACTTCCAGGAGCTACCATTTGAATGGGGAAGACCACACAGCTGGGAGGACCCAGCGGGAGGGCCAATGATAGCCCCAGAGGGCCTTACGGTTCAGGGTTGGGGTCAATGTTGCTTAATCAACATTGATTAGGCACCTACTGTATGCCAGGCACTGTGCTAAGCACTGGGAGACATAAAAGGAGATGAAAGAAATTCCTCCCAGCCCAACAAGGAGACCACAGGCCAACAAACATATGTGTGAACAGGCCCCGGACAGGGTGAATACGAAACAATTAACAGAGGGAAGGCCCTGGAACAAGAGAGCTCAGGACGGCTTCTTCCTGCAGCCGGGGGATTTCAGTGGAGTCTTAAGGGAAGCCAGCGAGGTCAGTGGTGGGGGCGGAGGAGGGGCAGCGTTCCTGAGATGGGGATGCCCAGGGCCAAGCTGTGGAGGCTCTTGTTCATGGAACAGCCCGGGGGTCCGGGTCACTGGACTGAAGAGCACATGTTGAGGAGTGAAGGGGAAGAAGGCTGGAAAGAGGAGGGGACAGGGCTCTGAAAAGCTCTGAGCGCCGGACAGGAGGGTGTTTGGTCCTAGAGGCCACGAGGAAGTACTGGAGTTTTGTAGTTAGGGGGATGACATGGTCAGACCTGCCCTTTAGGAAAAACTCTTTAGTGGCTGAACGGAAGTTAGACTGGAGTGGGGAGAGGACGGAGGCAGACAGACCCCCCAGCAGCTACTGCCGTGGTCCAGGCATGAGGGGGTGAGGCCGTGCACCAGGGTGGGAGCAGGGGCAGAGGAGAGGAGGGGGCAGATTCAAGAGATGCTGCAGAGGTGACATCCACAGGCCTTGGCACCATATTGGACATGGGGGGTGAGAGGGTGAGGAGTCCAGGATGACCCCTGGGGTGGGAGGCTGAGACCCAGGAGGAGGGCAGTAATAGTAATAGGGAAGGGGGGGTGGGGGGCCAGTTTAGGAGGAAAGAGAATGAATTCTGTTTCAGACACATTGAGGCAAATCTGTCTACTGGACACCTAGGTCAAGATGTCTGAAAGGCAGTTGGAGATGTAAGAATGGAAGTCAGCAGAGAGACTGAGACAAGAAAGGTAGATTTGAGAATTACCAGCATAGAGAGGGTCACTAAGGAAGCTGATGAGATCGTCCAGGGAAGTATAAAGGAGGGAGGAGAGCAGAGGACCCAGGACAGAGCCCTGAGGGACGCCTACAGTGAGAGGACGTGGTCCAGAGGAGGATCCAGCTAAGAGGACAGAGAAGGAGCCCAGGTCAGAGAGGGAGGAGGAGAACCAGGAGAGGGAGGGAGAAGGGGTGTCCTGAAAACCCAGAGAGAAGAGAGGACCAAGGAGGAGGGAGGGATGGACAGTGGCCAAGGCTGCAGAGAGGCCGAGGAGAATGGTGATGGAGAGGAGGCCATCGGATTTGGCAGCTAAGGGAGCATTAGCAACTTTGCAAAGAACATTTTTGGTGAAATGATAAGGTTGGATTATGAGGGGTTGGGGAAAGATTGAGAGGAAAAATGTAAAGAGCCCAGAGGGCCTTAGGGTTCAGGGTCAGGGCCAATGACAGGGGCCAGCAGTCCTGTAGGTGGACAGCACAGTGGGCTGTGAGTGGGACCTGCCCCATGTCATAGGATGGGAAAGGACCGAGGCAGGATTGGAACCCAGGCCCTCAACTCCCATCCCAATCAGGCCCCATCTTCTGTACTCCACTTCCTACATGACCATGGCAGCAGCATGAGGAGGACAATGCCTGTGTTAGGGCCCCCGGCACTGCCTCCCACAGGGAGCCTAGGAAATGTATTTCTAGGCCAATCTGGAAGCTTGAAAGAGGGAATTTGCTACCGGGAAACAGAATGTAAGGCTGAGCCAAAGGGGGAGCTTGGCAGGCCCGTGACCCTGGAGAAGGAATGCACAGCGTGAGCCGGCTGGGAGGGAGGCAGGAGGACCATCACGCACTTCCCTGGCTGCCATCTGAAAACGAAACTATAGACACAAACGTGACATTTCCCCTCAAGGACAGCACTGGCTCAGCAGGTGGCCGTCTGGGGGGGGGGCTCTGAGAGACGGACCCCTGTGAGGCCTCCTGTGTGAGGGAGAAGGTGGTGTGTGTGTGGGTGTGGGTGTGAGAGAGAGAGAGAGACAGAGAGACAGAGAGACAGAGAGAGAGAGAGACAGAGAGAGAGAGAGACAGAGAGAGAGAGACAGAGACAGAGAGAGACAGAGACAGAGAAAGAAAGACAGAAACAGAGACAGAGACAGAGAGACATACCCCTGTGAGGCCTCCTAGGTGAGGGAGAAGGCGGTTCTGTGTGTGTGTGTGTGAGAGAGAGAGACAGAGACAGAGACAGAGAGAGAGATACAGAGAGACAGAGACAGAAAGACAGAGACAGAGAGACAAAGACAGAGAGATGGACCCCTGTGAGGCCTCCCGTGTGAAGAAGGCAGTTCTGTGTGTGTGTGTGTGTGTGTGAGAAAGAGAGAGAGAGAGAGAGACAGAGACTGAGACAGAGAGAGAGATACAGAGAGACAGAGACAGAAAGACAGAGACAGAGAGACAGAGACAGAGAGACATACCCCTGTGAGGCCTCCCATGTGAAGAAGGCGGTTCTGTGTGTGGGTGTGTGTGTGTGTGTGAGAGAGAGAGAGAGAGAGAGAGACAGAGACAGAGACAGAGAGAGAGATACAGAAAGACAGAGACAGAAAGACAGAGACAGAGAGACAAAGACAGAGAGATGGACCCCTGTGAGGACTCCTGTGTGAGGGAGAAGGTGGTTCTCTGTGTGTCTGAGAGAGAGAGAGACAGACAGAGACAGAGACAGAGAGACAGAGAGAGAGACAGAGACACAGAGACATTCCCCTGTGAGGCCTCCTGTGTGAGGGAGAAGGCAGTTCTGTGTGTGTGTGTGTGTGTGTGTGTGTGTGTGTGTGTGTGTGTGTGAGAGAGAGAGAGAGAGCAGACAGACAGACAGACAGAGAGACAGAGAAACAGAGAACTGGAGACAGAAAGAGACAAAGACAGAGAGGGATAGAGCAGAGGTGCTGATCCTGGGCCTGCTCTAACACTCTATGACCTGGGGAAAGTCTTTTTTCCTCCTTGGGCCTCAGTTTCCTCAATTGCCCAATGGGACAGTTGGAATAGGTGACGTCTCAGAACCGTCCCCATCCTAAAATCCTACAATGACTTCACACCTTTCTAGTCCATTGCACCTGATCATTCCTGAGGTCCCTTCTGTGCTCTGCAATCCAGTGTTCTTTTCCCTGCCTCAGTGTAGACATCAGTCAATCAATATGCCTTCATTAAACACCTCCTACATGCCAGGCATATGCCTTTATTAAGTGCCTCCTGTATGCCAGGCACCATATGAAGCATGATGAAATCCTAGAGTGAAGTGCCACTATCTTTGGCCTCCAGGGGCTCAGGTTCTATTGGGGGAGAGAAAACCCAAACCCCCAGTCTGTGGAGTCCAGCAGAGGCCACGTGGTACCATAGAAAGGCCCCTGAATTCTGCTGACACCCCTATTCACCTGTGGGATGTTGGACAAGTCAATTTCCCTTTACAGCCTCAGTTTCTCCCTCAATAAGAGGAGGGTGGTGGCCTCAGGGCTCCTTGGGCCCTTTCAGCTCTAAATCTGTGATCTTTTGAGATGCAGAGGGCAGCAAGGTGGTGCCACAGTGGACAGATCACTGGGCCTGGAATCAGGAAAACCTGAGTTCAAATCCAGATTCAAACACATACTAGCTGTGTGACCCTGGGCAAGTCACTTCACCCTGTTTGCCTCAGTTTCCTCATCTGTAAAATAAGCTGGAGAAGGAAATGGCAAACTGCTCCAGTATCTTTGC